TAGCAGTTGATGCTAACTTAAGCTACCTTGAACTGAGCGCTTACATGAGCCTCGGCTTTTGATAATATTAATGTTAACATTTACATTCACTAATGGTGAATTACGCTTTTATGTCTATTTTAGCCATGGGAAATTAAATTTCTTAAGGGTAGAAATTACAAAAAAAAAATGTTAGAAGTAGATTACACGAGAAGAGAATTTACTATGCTGAAACAAAGTTTATGTTAGTTTGCATAGCAACATTAGAACAGCATTAATATAATCTAGGGCTGCAATTTACTATTATTTTGCAAATTAAATAAGCCGTCAATTTTTGTTTTTGATTAATCAGATAGCAAAAGGTTCCTTATAGAAGATCTCCCTACGAAAATAAATCAGGTGAAACAAAAACTTGATACTTGAGGAGTTCTGGATAAAGCATGTTGACAGACTAAAAAGATATGTTTTATCTTAAAAGCAAAATGTTTATATATTTCTTTTTACATTTTGATAAAATGACTCCTCTAAGTGGGTTGCTCTGTCAGCTAAAGACATGTTTTACAGTCTTTACACTCCAGTGAACAATTAATCGATTATTATTAATTTGGTTCAGGATTGTTCTTATAATCGATTAATCATGACTTATCTGGTTAATTTTTTCAGTCCTAATATAAACATACGAGTATCCAAAAGTATATTCTGGCAAGTTAGCTTATGGTAATCTCTAGATAGGAGAGCCTGGAGTAGATGGTATCATAGTAATTACATAAAACTGATATTTCAAAACATAAAACTGATATTTCAAAGTAACTTGTGTTTTTTTTTTAGCAGACTATTATGCCATTTTGATCTTCAGTGGAATTGCAGCATATACTGAAAATTTATGAATATCTCTTTAGACAGTGTGCATGGTCCTTGCTTATTGTTTAAGTGTTATTTATTTCGCCATCCTTTGCCTGTATTATGTTTGGTCACACTTGTTTTGTTGTTTTTATGCATTATCAGAGGGTTTTGGTTGATAAAGAGGTGGCGAGAGGGGAAGTAATTAGGAAACTAGAACCAAGTTTATTTCATGCCAAAAACAGCAAACACCGACCAAAAACAAACTATTCTGGAGGATTATATTGAATAACATTTCTTTGGTTTTTCTGAGTACCTGCCTAGATTACTTTTCAATTCCATGTTTGCTATAAAATTAAAGAAGAATGGCAATAAATCATTTTAGACTCTTTTTTTTTTCCCATCTCAAGTTACATCATTACTACAGTGTTATTCGGCATTATCTTATACACCATGTTTTGGTATTACTGTGCAGTATTCATGTTAGGATATATTATTTATTTTTTTTTTTTTTCATTGCTGGAAATATTTCCAACAGCTATGTTGTCTTTTTATTAAGCAAACATGTTATATACCAATACTGTGCAAATTCTAGATGTCCTTTCCAACACTTGATTGCAGTAAAATAATTATATAAATTTAAATTAAGTCCTAATCACACGCCTCTAATCTAGTAATATCTGTTGAGTTTTAGTGTCTTGTACCACTACTTCTACTTTGGGTAGTTTATAAAGGGCATAGAAAAAAAAAGAACATGTTGTTACACTAGAACTTATATTTTTGCTCTTTATACTGATCGTTTCATTGCCAAACTCAGATTAATAGAGTAAGAGCTGATCTGCATTTGTCACTGCTAAAAATTGTGTTTTCCAGGTTATCGAGCTCGACTTCGACCAGTTGCCAGAGGGAGACGAGGTTATCAGTATCTTAAAGCAGGAACACACACAGCTGCACATTTGGATAGCTTTGGCGGTGAGTCGTTTCTCTCCCCTAAAATTCTAACTTTATCTCATTTTACCTTCATACACATACAAGTAAATTATAATTTTATATTGATGAAGATAAAAATACATAAGGCAGCATGGAATTGGATGTATTTATTTATGTATTTATTTTCAGTTGGAGTATTACAAGCAAGGCAAAACAGAAGATTTCGTCAAGCTTTTAGAGGCTGCACGCATCGATGGAAACCTGGACTACAGAGACCATGAGAAGGACCAGATGACCTGCTTGGACACATTAGCAGCTTACTATGTCCAGCAGGCTCGTAAAGAGAAGAACAAAGATGCCAAGAAGGAGCTCATCACACAGGCCACTCTGCTGTACACCATGGCAGATAAGATCATCATGTACGATCAGGTAGGACAGATTCAACTCACGGCTGCTGCAGCACTGTTATTTGTGCATTTAAAGTTAATAAAAGGTATTTTTGTGTCAACCAGAACCATTTGCTGGGACGAGCCTGTTTCTGCTTGCTGGAAGGAGACAAGATGGACCAGGCTGATGCTCAGTTCCACTTTGTGCTCAACCAATCCACCAATAACATCCCTGCTTTGCTTGGTAAGCTGAATGAGAATGCTGAGGTTGAGATTGACTGCGTTATGTAATGAATAGAAAGTATTAACATTGTTGTTGTTTAACAGGTAAGGCCTGCATCTCGTTCAATAAGAAGGACTACAAAGGAGCGCTGGCGTACTATAAAAAGGCTTTACGAACAAACCCTGGCTGCCCAGGTAAACGTGTTACCTCATAATTCCTCCCATAGTATAATAACCTTACATCATAATATAATAGTAGCTCTACTGCTACTATAAGCTTCATTCATCTAGATTTATGTTTCCTACTTAGTTAAAGACTGAAAAGGTTCCCTTTTAACACACTGCACATGTAACTGTTATTGATAAAATTCCTTTTCACATCTTATACTTTCTTTAAATGACTTATAAATCCACTTTTAACTTAATTGTTGATAATGCTGTTAAATACTGGTTTCTTTTTGTTCTGGTCATACCTGTGGATTAAAGAAAGTATACTATAAGATATTTTTCAACAGTATCTGTAATTAATGCATAAATCAGCCACAGGGTGGTTCCACAACACTGGATATGTAGTTTCAGCGGATTGTGAACTTGCTTTAAAATTATTACTTATAGTTTACACTTCAAGAGCTGATGAAATGTGTGAAGAGACTTGAAATGGATGAATGCTTTAAGTAACATAATCCTAAATGGAAATAAAGAGTAATCTAATCTGTAATCTTTTTTATAATAAATGTAAAATATATTTTTTTGTTTGTGGGAAAATGGGAGAGATAAGGAATGGTTTTGAAAATGGCAAAGAGAAAAAAAATTTTCAGTAAACCTTCAGTAATAAAAGCATCAAACAACTGGGACTATGACAAACAAGGCGAGATGAGGAATAAAGGTTTATTTTACCTCCTTGCACAATGAGGAGGATAGTGAAGGAGATTACTATCCTCAGTTTCACACTGAAAATGTTTAATATTGGAGCAATAAAAGAGACAATTTTCCTCTCCATTGTCGCTCATGCTTAGTGTGGGGATTGCTGCCGAGTCAGCAACACAATGCAAGCCAATATCTACTGTTACCACATGCTCATCCAGGAGGAGCGAATCCTGCAAAGTCAATGACTCAATGCAATTGAATAAGACATTTGTGTATCTAATAATTGTGAAAAGCAATGCTAAGCCTAAATCAGCTCTACTATTATTATTATTATGGATCTAATAATTATTTTTCAATTCATAGAGAAAGGGTTGGGTGTTTAGTTTCTCGGTCTTGGGTTTCCAACACAGAAGTCAACCTCACTAAAATCTCACTCATAAATAAAAGCTCAATCTTGTATTGGAAAAGTGTGAAATGAATACTGGATTGGTGAGGGTTATATGTTCTGAAATGAATATTTGATCATTTATTTGCCGTAGACCTTTCCCTTAAGTACTCCTTTATCTCCAGATATTAAACTACGTTCTCAGATCAGCTCTACCTGAATGTTGGTGATTTAGACAGATCATTTTCTAAATGTTTCCTAAACTTTGGCTTTTCTCTCTCTGTTAGCTGAAGTAAGATTGGGGATGGGTCACTGTTTCGTCAAGCTCAACAAACTGGAGAAGGCCCGTTTGGCGTTTGGTCGGGCCCTGGAGCTGAACTCTAAGTGTGTCGGAGCCCTGGTTGGTTTGGCGGTTCTAGAGCTCAACAACAAAGATTCAGAGTCCATTAAGAACGGAGTGCAGCTCCTGTCACGGGCTTACACCATAGATCCCAGCAACCCCATGGTGCTCAACCACCTCGCCAACCACTTCTTTTTTAAAAAGGTGTGAAGTTTCCTCCTATTGTCTGAAAAATAATACAAACCTAAACCTGCATCATTTAACTGATAAGTTTGCTTCTGTGTCTCTTCAAGGACTACAGTAAAGTCCAACATCTCGCCCTCCATGCTTTCCACAACACTGAAGTTGAGGCCATGCAGGCCGAGAGCTGCTATCAGTTAGCTCGTTCATTTCATGTACAGGTAAGGCAGCCATTTGAACCTTTTAAAGACGTTAGTTGTTCAGATACAGCAGCGTTTTAAACATTTCCTTTTCTGTTCTGCAGGAGGACTATGACCAGGCGTTTCAGTATTACTACCAGGCCACTCAGTTTGCCTCGTCTACCTTTGTGCTGCCCTTCTTCGGTTTGGGGCAGATGTATGTGTATCGTAGGGACAAGGAAAATGCTGCACAGTGTTTCGAAAAGGTTTTAAAGGCGTACCCAAACAACTACGAAACAATGAAAATCCTTGGATCTCTGTACGCAACTTCGGATGATCAGGAAAAAAGAGACATCGCAAAAGTGTGTTTTTCAGCCCATCATAGGTTTTCTGTTCATGTGGTTAAAATAACTGGTTAATGTTTGGTTAATAATGGTTTGTTTTTTTCTGTTTCCTAGGGCCACTTGAAGAAGGTGACAGAGCAGTACCCAGATGATGTGGAGGCGTGGATCGAGCTGGCTCAGATCTTGGAGCAGACCGACATCCAGGGTGCGTTGTCGGCTTATGGCACGGCCACACGCATCCTCCAGGAGAAGGTGCAGGCTGACGTTCCTCCTGAGATCCTTAACAATCTGGGAGCTCTGCATTTCAGACTAGGAAACCTTGGAGAAGCAAAGGTACCAAACCTCCCGAGCTACTCTGACTTTACCAAAAAATTTATTTAATACAACTTTTAAAAATAATCCTCCCTGACCCCACAGAAATATTTTCTTGCATCACTGGACCGCGCCAAAGCAGAGGGAGAGCATGATGAGCATTACTACAATGCTATTTCTGTCACTACATCCTACAACCTGGCCCGTTTGTACGAGGCCATGTGTGAATTCCACGAAGCTGAGAAACTTTATAAAAACATCCTCAGGGAGCACCCCAACTATGTTGACTGTAAGAATGCAATGTTATGCAACAATACCAGGGTTTGGTTTGTGAACCGTAAAAGGGCATTTTGCTAATGCATCAACCTGCAGGTTATTTGCGTCTTGGTGCAATGGCTCGCGACAAAGGAAACTTCTATGAAGCATCTGATTGGTTTAAAGAAGCCCTGCAGATTAATCAGGTATAACCTGTTGGTTTGTTGCTGTTAAATCTGCACATATAAAACTTGCTGACATGATCTGATGACGTTTCTGTTCGGTGCAGGATCACCCAGACGCCTGGTCACTCATCGGAAATCTTCACTTAGCCAAACAGGAATGGGGGCCGGGTCAGAAGAAGTTTGAGCGCATCCTCAAACAGCCGTCCACTCAGAACGACACATACTCCATGCTGGCACTGGGTAACGTGTGGCTGCAGACTCTGCACCAGCCAACCAGAGACAGAGAAAAGGTACCAACAGAGTTAATGTTCAGCTTTACTTTTTTATTAGACATTTTTATTAGACATTTTTTGCAGTAAGGAAAACAAACATGCAGTAATTTATAAAATGGTCTAAAATAGGTTAATGGCAGAAGAAGTTATGTATAGGATTTGTATTTAATTTAAGAGAGTTTATATTATTGTATTAAAGAGGCATTACAGAGTTTTATAATGATACTGCCACCTGTGGCCAAAACACAGAATTCCAGCACTCTTAGACTTAGACTTCCTTTATTGTCATTGCACAGAAAATACAAGGTGAATCTTGACAACGCAATTGTCGATTACTTGGCTACCAGTGTAACAGAGCTAAGACCTTAGTCCTGCACAGTAAATATGTTTTGTATGAGTAAGAGCCAGCTATATACAGGTTAAGAGTATATATATATTAGGGCTGGAACAGTTCACAAAATCCAGGGTTCGGTTCACGGTTTCGTGGTCACGGTTTTCGGTTCGGTTTATGTTAATTGTTAGGAAAATCTATTATGTCTTGTAAAGTACAACGCGTGTTGCACAATGCTTGCACACTGTTGCACTTTTATCAATAACTTTCTTTCCGCCGTCATCGTAGGTCACTCTAGTTGCAAGGTGGTCCCATACAGCAGACCTATAAAGTGCTGCTGGCGTGTCTTCCAACTAGGGTGGCCATTTCTATAGCACCAAAAAGGAGGACATTGTCGGGCATCTCAATAAATTACTAAGGTGTACATAAGAATTGGGTAAAGTCTCATTTATAGTACAATTTTTAGTAGTTTAAAGATGATGCTTGTGTAGCTGAATAGAACAAAATATTAAAGAGATGTAAAAAAGAATTGGTTTCCAGCATTTGTATTTATTTAATACATTGTGTTGTTTAAAAAGTGACCATTGATATTACATTCGAGCTGGATGAAGGTCGCTTCTAAAGGCTGATTTATACTTCAAAAAAGCTGTCTGCGTGTGTGTCGCAGTGAACGCAGAGACGTCCCCGCCCCCTCCGTTGACACTGCTGCACCTCTCCCAAATTGTAGGTGACCGCAGACAGGAGGTCTCTGATTGGTCAAAACTACATCTGCTCTACTCTATGCGTCTCCTGTTTGGTACTTTACCGGCTTGATTTGTTTGTATGACCGTGATTGCGGAAAACGACTAGTGAAGATGGACCAGCTAGAAGAGCGAGGCACACGAGAAGGCCAGGACCCTTTTCCCACCTGGATTCCCTCTCTCTTTTGCCCTCATGTCCCTCCGTTGTCGGACAAACTTGCCCCCATTTTTCACCGTCTCAGCTAGTTCATGATTGTCCCTCTTGCGTATAAGAAGTGATTTTTAAGGGGAGTATTGGCCTAATTGTTAGGGCGTTGCTCTTGGTTCCCAGAGGTTCTGAGTTCAAGCCCTACGGACTGCCAGTCTGGGTTCCTGAACCAGGCCCTTAACTCCCAGTCTGCTCCCTGGATACTGTACAATGGCAGCCCACTGCTCCCCAAAGGGAGGGCTTAAATGCAGAGAGTGAATTCCGTTGCTTTGTATTTGTGACAGTGTCATGATAATAAAGTTCTAAAAAGGTTATTATATAGATACTTTTCATTAAAAACGTACATAATGTCTCTTCTAAATAACAGTAAATCCTGTTCTGTAGGTTTAACCAACCAATGTAGTGTTCTTTATTTTGGGAGCACCGATTAATTACTAACAGCATGTGCTGTGATGCGTTTGTGTGAGTTTAAATAAAAGATAATGGTAAATGACGTATGCATTGATGCATAATGGAGATAATCTTGTATTTCATTATGGTGAATTTATTATTATTATTATTAAAGTTTATTTGATAGGGACAGACACATTTACATAGATAAACTGAATGAAACAGCAGTCCCATGTTTGCATCATGGTGCAATAGCAACAGCTAATTTGAAACGTCTATTAACAAACCTGCAGTCTCCTTTAACCTTATGTCTTAAATTAATTTGAATTAAAATGAAAAAAAAAAAAAACATTTTACAGAAAAAAACCCTAATCGATAGAATCAAGGAAGAAGCAGAAATCTATTAGCCAGGAAACGCCTGAACAGTGCTACCTTAATATTTCTTCTGTGACTTAACTGTACTTTTATCATCTGTTTTCATAACTTAGACAATTTATTTAACTGCTCTTGGTACTGTTAATGCAGAAACTTGGAAATTATTCTCAGTCACAGACTTCTGTCATTTGTGCTGAAATCACGGTGTCCTCCTCCTACTCATTTAGTTTATTTTTTTTTTTTTTTTTTAAGATTAAGATTTTTTTTTAGGTTCTGGTAGCCTTTATCTTCTTGAGAGTATTCAGACAAAATGGGAATAGAAAGTGATAAAGGACATGCAGCAAAGATCACCAGGTTAGGAAATTCAATAACCTATTTCATGAGGTCAGGGCTCTTTGTTGGAAAATATTGAACAAACCTCCACTTAAGAATGAAGGAGGCCCTCTAGTGGATGATGGCAATTTTAAACCAAAAAACATTCCTTTCTGAAAGTTATTCTCACATAATCAAATGGAATAAATGTTATTCTGATAAACAATTATTCCACAATGAATCCTAAGTCTTATATTAGTTTACATCCATGGTCCGTAGGCTAAAGGAACTATCGAAAGAAAGAATTTTGCTTTGGCTTGTGTCCTCACCTGATTTCCAGATTAAGATCAAGAGAGGGACTAATTCCACAACATGTCATCTCAAAGATGATTGGTTAAAAGTTCTTTGTCAAAGAAAACATAGCTAATTGCATGAAGTCATTGACTTTTCAGGATTTTCCCCTCCCGGGTGAACGTGTGGTGGCAGTAGATGTTCGCTTGCACTGTATTATTGTCTCCAAAGCAATCCCTCACACCGCATGCATGCAGGAACAGTAGAGATGGAAAACCGCCTTTAAGATGAAGAAACCTTCAGCAGAACCAGGCTTAATGTGAGCGGCTTTCTGCCCAGGCTGACTAGGGGTTCGATCAGATAGAAGAAGACATACAAAGCGAACAAAAAAAGCTAACATAGAGCTTTCCATTACATCTATAAATATTTTCTATGTTAGAAAAAGTAAAAGTAAACTAGCTCTATAGGTGGCTCTGTCGTATATGCGAACAGTTAAATAGATGAGTTCAGAGCCTGGTTTCCTTTCAGCAGGGATGAAAGGGCACATCAGTTTGTCACAGTCAAGGTTTAACTCATAGTCATATCTAGGAGAGAAACAGGATTAAGCACTTAAAACAGGCCCAACTTTTTCTTCTATAAGAGAAGTTGCTTATTGCAGCAGCCCAGCTGATGCCTCTTTCAGGATGGTGTCACAGCAAAACAGGGCGCCAAACCGGATCAAGCCACTATGATTAGAGACGAGGAGAGAACTTAAAGGTTGAACTAACAAAAACTGCAGAATTGGAGAACAGAAGTTAAATGATGAAAGATGGTCCTGATGTCCTCCAGAAGCTTAGGCCTATAGCAGCATAACTATAGGGATAGCTCAGGATAACCTTATTTATAAGCTTTATTAGGTCCCTGTCAATGTTGCGTCTAATCAAGAAATATTCTGGTTTAGTGAACAGGATGAAAAACTAGGCAGGGTTTCTACTTTCTGGGTGTGTATTGTCAAACTCTAAAGGAAACTGATTCCTGATTAGTCAAATGTTTTTGTCCTTGCAGGAAAAGAGACACCAGGATCGGGCCTTGGCAATATATAAACAAGTCCTGCGAAATGACGCGAAAAACCTTTATGCTGCCAATGGGATCGGTAACTTTTCATTGGGTTGTTTTTGTGTTTTATTTTTATTCGGAATTGTTCCCTTTGTTTAAACCTCAAACTATCTCAACAGGGGCCGTGCTTGCTCATAAAGGTTATTTCCGAGAGGCACGTGACGTGTTTGCTCAGGTGAGAGAGGCTACAGCAGAAATCAGTGACGTCTGGCTAAATCTGGCTCATATTTATGTGGAGCAGAAGCAGTACATCAGTGCCGTGCAGATGGTAAGAGGCAGTTCATCTCACGCTGGTTTGTTTCTTTGTTCATACAATTTTAGCTGACTTTAGTTCATCTTTTACAGTATGAAAACTGCTTGAAGAAATTTTACAAATACCAGAACACAGAGGTGTTGCTGTATCTTGCAAGAGCTCTCTTCAAATGTGGGAAACTCCAGGAGTGCAAACAGATGCTGCTGAAGGTAATAACAGAGATGAAAGTTTTCTTGAACCTCAAAGGATCAAAGAAGGAAAGGTTTGTTTCTGTGGTGTCCCTTAAAGGCTCGGCATGTGGCGCCCAGCGACACGGTTCTAATGTTCAACGTGGCTCTGGTGCTTCAAAGGCTCGCCACCCTCGTGCTAAAAGATGAGAAGAGCAACTTAAAGGCTGTGCTCAGTGCTGTGAAGGAGCTTGAACTGGCTCACAGGTACTCCCATGATTTCTTCCTTTAACCTTCTAGATTGTTTTTCCAGGGTTTCCCTTCACTAAGCGTTGACTATTATCCCTCACAGATACTTCAGCTACCTAAGCAAAGCCGGAGACAAGATGAGGTTTGATCTCGCCCTTGCAGCATCTGAGGCCAGGTAAGACTGACTCTCTGGACCTGTTCAGATCCCAGTGATCTGCGTTCAGCTATTTACTCTGTCAACACATTTTTCTACAGCAGAGTAAAAGATTGACTTGCAGAATCGTTCTACATATGTATCATAATTATGTAAAATTTAGATCAAAGATTTCACCTACTTCTGTGTGAAAGATGCTCATCATTCCTTATTTGTTCAACCATGGCACATCAGGAGAACTCACAATCTCTTAATCTCCAAGTTGTTTCCCTAATTTGAATCAACAGTGATCTTAAAGCTTAAATATTACAGCTCCAGTACCAGCTGATGTCAGCACATAATTAATCTTGCTTTTAAATAACTGTCCTGAGCTGATGATTTCATGTGTGGTTGGGGAATCCAGGCAGTGTTCTGACCTGCTGAGTCAGGCTCAGTACCATGTAGCCAGAGCCAGGAAGCAGGATGAAGAGGAAAAAGAGCTCCGGGCCAAACAGGAGCAAGAGAGGGACCTCCTTCGCCAGCAGATGTTAAAAGAGCAGGTAGCAATCGATTTAGCGGTCTAACACCCACACGGGAATAGCACATGACGAAGTCTGTTCTTGATGGGCTTTTCCCTCTGTAACATTCAGGAAGAACGGCAGAAAAGAGAGGCAGAGGAGCAAAAGAAGCTCCTGGAGCAGAGAGCTTTGTTTGTGGAGAAGACCAAGAACTTGCTCACGTTTGTGGAAGGCCCAAAAGAAACGGCCAAAGAGAAGAAGAAAGGAGGTGGTGGTGGCGGCCGCGTGAGTGTTTCTTCAACACAGGATTACTGACCAAACAGTATTACTGGTAGCCGGCCTTTATGAACTGGTGTTTTTAATCTCTTAGCGCAAGAAAGGTGACGTGGATGACTTCGTTAATGACGATTCAGATGAGGACCTTCCTATAAAGAAGAAGAAGAGGAGGAAGAGCAGCGGCAGTGAACAAGAAGATGGTGATGGAGGGGAAAAGAAGAAAAAGAAGAGGAGGAGGTGGGTCTTCTACATGTACTTACATATTTCGCTGATAAAGGTATTACTGATGTAAACTTTTACCTTACCTTTCAGACCCGCAAAAGGAGGAGATGACAGTGATGAAAAAGGAGCCTCTCGACCCAAGAAGCAGCGTAAACCCAAAGAAGGAGGGAAGAAGAAAGAAAAGGTCCTCTTTATTTTTAAATCTTTCCTCACTGCAAGGGCTGTATTTCTGCTCTTGCTGCAAGAATATTACAAAATTCATATGCTGCATGAAAAATATTTTCAGTCATCATTCCTAGAAAAGGCTTGCCCATAGAACGACCAGCCATGAATCAAGTGATTTTTAATATAGCTTGTAATTTGAACATAAACTGGAAATTGTTGATTATTGACAGAAAATGTGTTGGGTTTTTGTCATTTTAGCCACAGCCTGAGCGCATGCCTCCATCTCTCAAAGGGAAGATCAAGTCCAAGGCTATCATCTCCTCTTCTGAATCCTCGTCCGATGAGGACGGACTGAAAATAGCTGAAGACCGGTAAGTGCCTTGAGTGCTGTAAGCAGTATGAAGATGAATCAACAAAATGTTCACCAATTCCTTTTATGTACACAGAAACAGAGACAGTGGCTCAGGATCTGAGGCCGAGGGTGATCACCGGAAACGCATAGCATCCGACAGCGACTCGGATGGCGAGAGGAATCGGTCGGGTAGCGAGGCAGGCAGCCCTCGACGTTCTGTCGGTTCCGATGAATCGGGCAGCGACCGTCCTGTAAAGAAGAGGAGAGCGCAGCGGCAGTCTGACTCTGAGCAGTCGGACAACGAGAGCAAGAGGAGCCAGTCGGGATCAGAGGACGAGTCCAGAGCGCCTTCTGACAGAGGATCTGAGGCTGGATCAGATAACGAAGGCTCCCCACGGCGCTCCGATAACGGTTCGGAACAGGAGGGGTCCAATAACGATGATAGTGATTAGGTCACTCAATGTTATGCTGAAAAAAACTTGTTAAACATGGATTTGATTTTGTTACTTCCATTTTGTTTCCTGTGTACTATTCATTTCTGGGTGGCGTTTATTTTAAAGACGCTGTTTAAATCAAAAGTCATGGACTAAAATTGTACCACGATGCCTCTGGAAAGAAGGTCGATTCATGCAAACTGGCCCTAATTTGACAAGTCAAAGTTTATGTATATAAAACATTCAAATGAAATAAATCTTTACACCTCCCGTGTGTCTGAGGTTTTCCACAACCAATTTAACATGACGACAGAATTTAACAGTTAAACTTTATTTAGAATGATCTGTAGTTGTACACTAGACTCCTTGGGCATTACATAAATCACAAGTGTACACATACAGCACATTTCTCTCGATTCAATGATAAAAAGACCCTTTAGAAATATTGCAAACAGAAAATTTTGAGTGGTTAACAGCTGCAGCATAGTTAACTCTGCTGTACAATGTCAATTCAGGACATTCAGGTATAGTCAGACACTTTAGAGGTATATCTATGCAACAGATAAATTAAAAAGGCCACACTGATTTATTCTAAAGAAAATTTCTATTGAAAAGATTTTATTCAGGTGAATGAGATCATGTGCAAGATTGACCACAAGTTCATTCCAGATTACGATTTGAGAAAATTTAAGGTAACTAAGGCCCATAATTATCCAATCAAAGCAATTTAAAAAAGAAAAATCAAGGATAATAAATTTCACTATTGCAACAACTCAGATGTTAAGCAAAGTGCATCTTAAACTGAATTATAAAAGCAGATACAATTAAAAATCTTGGTCTTATTCTTGTAAACAGTTTAAGGAAGTCCCACTTGTAACTGACGAGAAGGGCAACAAAGCAGGTTGATTGAGACATTTTCCTTAGAAATACTGCCTACTCACACACAAGCCCAAGACTGAAATGCACTAAACATCCCTGCAGAACACCAAATAGGACAGACACTAGGAAGTACATACAGTAAGATAAAGCCAGTTTCATTTGGCAAAACACCTTAAGGACTAGTAACATTTGCAACTAAAGAGAGGACAAGATAAGGATGGGTGGGGTATATAATTCATTGTGTTATAACACATGGCTTTGGCCTTTGTCATCAGTCATCTTCATCCTCAGACTCTTCTTCCTCAGCTGTTTCCAGCCATGTCAGCCATTGGTTCACCTGCATCAGAAAGTAAAACACTTCAGTTACAAACTGGACCCCTTTAATTAATGGCTGCATCATCAGTTGAAGAAGTCTGGTTCAATGTACCTGAAATAATGCTTTCCCCTTCCCTGGATACTCCTCTGTGATGTCTTCTTTCCATGAGAGGAAGGCTTCTTCTTCAACTATTTCCATGTCATAAAGATTCACAAAGTAGCGCAGCAACATGCCTAAAGCAGAGCAAGGAAGAGTTTAAAAAAGCATTTAGGCGATAAATAAAAAAAGAAAAAAAACTTTAAAAGAACATACCTTTTGGGAAACCCTTGGTGTTACAATGGACCTGCAGGGCATACAGCGCACTGACTTGCAGATTAATGTGATCATGCAGGAACTTCTGCAGAACTGGTTTGAAGGACAGCAGAAGCTGCTTCTCCTCTTCCTGCTGCTCCTTGCTGGGTGCTGCAAGCTGCTCTTCGTCATCATCTGGGTTTGTCTCATAAGAAATGTACTGCAGGAGGCTGGAGAAAGAAAAAAAAAGGGAAATCCCATTAAAAGAAGCACTTCAATGATTTAATTAAAGAGCAATTTTAAAGACGGCATATCAGCAGATGTAAGAGGCTCTTGAGTACCTGGTCACAAGGATATTGACAAAGCCTTTATCAGTGTGAAGTTTAGGAGAGATGTTGTCTTTGATCCATTTGTAAATCGATTGTGGTGAAGGATCCACTTTGATCTGTTTCAGCAGTTCTTTTTCCAGCTTCATCAGTGGGAACAAAAAGCTGAGACCTTTGCCCTCTAGAATCTCCAACATCCTGTCCTTGTTCTGGTCAATTTCTGCACACACACAAAAAACAAGACGTTAGCTGAAAAATCCCCTTAAACTGAGCATGGGAATAAATTGAGTGCTGAAAACAGCATACCGGGAAGCATCTTCTGCATGCTGACCCTGCTTTGCTGGAACAGGTCGCCCAGCCAGTCACGGTCCTTCAGTTTGACCATCTGCTGCAGGCACAGCAGGAACAGAGGGAAGTGTGCACCATTCTCCAGCTGATGAGCCAGGTCGTCAATGCTGGCCAGTTCAGCAATGATAGCTCGAGCTGCAAACTGTGCCAGGTATGATTTCACCAGAGGAATTTCTTCCTCAATCTTAGGACACTGATCTACAATACGCAGAAAGGCCTACAGAGAAACATAAGGATGGTGGTGTTAACACTTGAATATTACAAGCAGGTCAAGTACTTTCCATTTATGAGGCCACTCACAGGCAGGAGACGGTCACGACTGATGAGGCCCTCAGTGGAGAGAGCGTGGATCAGTTTGCTGGCATTTTCCTTATCTTCATCTGACCGCTCAAGGGAGAAAAGGATCATCTTATTCAGCATGTCAGATAAGAAGTACTTCGGAGCCCTCATTTCTTTTACAGCGCTCACAGCCTCCTCAATGTTTTTCCCATTCAGATAGTCGATCATCAGTGTGTCCTATAATAAGGACAGTGAGAGTTTTAAATGACACAATTTTATAGAAAGGAAGTCGGACATGGCTCATGAGGAACTTACTGTCATTTTGAACAGCTCTTCCTTAGTCGGTGGAGCCTTTTTGTTGGACTTTGCTGGCTTTTCCTGGATTGGAGGGGGATTATTTTTAAGGCCAAGCTGCAATGACATGGAGAAAAACATTAATATCTGCACCTTGCAATGATAAGACTGTGGTAGCCTTATATAAAGGGGAGATTACCTGTCCTAGTGGAGAACCTGTTGGAGGCATCAAAGTCATCTGTGGCTGCAGCTTTGGCACTTGGTTTTTGTTCATAATGAACGACTGAGCTGGCCTCAGACTGATCTACAGCACAAATACACCAATTTGTTATGGTTTAAAACTTAATCCCAACTGAAAAGAGTAAATTTTGCCAATTGGGCATAGCAGTACCTCATCGACGTTCAGTTTTCCTTTCTTGTTGAGCCTTGCACCCATATCCTTCGATTGTACTTGCCCTGTGTGGTTGGGCTTACGGTTGAAAACAGGCGAATTCTGTCCCTAAAAATATTTGGGGGAGGACAAAAACACACCTTTTAGATACTTACAACAATATTAAGAATTACAAAAAAAGCTAAAGTGGTTACCTGACTTGGCTTCATGTATTGTTTTATTCCTGGCTCAAACTGAGGCTGGTGTGAGGCATTGCCGTTCCCCATATGGCCATTGAACAGTGGGCTCGCCCGGTGACGACTCATGGTAGGGGAGTAATGATCCTGAATAACTCCTGGACCAGTTCCAATGCCAATACCTTCAAACAAGACAAACATTTGTTTTAAATACTTCAGTGATACTTCAGCCATAATAAAAATTTTAACAGTTAAAATTGCAGACATACCTGGTAGTTGTCCAAACATGTCAGCCAGCCCACCAAGAGGCTCCCTTTCAGGTCTCCTTGTTGGCAGGAAGGAGTTATGGTCTGGGAAGAAGTCATTTCTCATCCCATCAGTGGATGGTGGAATGAACACACCCAGATCCTTAAAAGCAGTGATAACTAGTTAGTCTATGACAAAATGCTATAATTGCAAGTTACTGAGTTATTATTGTGTGGTTAAATAACAGCCCTTGCTAACCAACCTTTACTGCATCATGGCGAACTTGGTTGATGGTCTTAGGTCCATTGTCCACGTAAGCCTTGCGAGGAACCCAGTTATTTTCCCGCAGCTCCACCATGTTCTGCAACAGGAAGCGAATCCTGGCCGGCAATTCCTTGTTGTTCATTAAGGAACGCATGCGTCCAAAGTACTGATCAATGAGGGACTGTAGAGAGGAATTTTTAAATCAATACAACATTTAAGACAAGACAACTAATGTTTGACTGCTTAGTTCATTTACCTTAGCCTTTTCATGGTCGATTTTAGGTCCCACCGTTTTCATTATTTGACAGAGGCATTCCAAATCTTCACCCATATCCTTAAGCTGGACTCTCTTCTTTTTCTCCAAAAGCTTAAAAACAGAAATCAAATTCGATCAGTTACACAGCAATCTGGTTTAAGAATGAACAAACTTCGACAACATAAAACAGGTAACCCTTACCGTTTTGATGCACTTGTGAAGAATGGATTCGTGGATAAGATTGAGTTTGCCAAGTTCACCGATGAATTTGATGTTTCCCAGCATCTTGATCTTTGCAATAGCACGCTGCTCCTCCTCCTCAGAGGTGAGTGGGTTGTCATGTTTGTCAAAGACTGCAGACAAAGGTTGTTTTTATTAAATGGAAGAATGTGTTATAACAAACATGTATATAAAAAGAGATTTACTCACGGTCAACATTCTTGGCACGGTTTTCAAATTCATCTTGAAGTTTAGATATCAGAAGCCTTCTAAAGGTCTGCAAAAGAAAAAAGAATGTATATATGCACACACTAGGGCTGCAACTAACGATTATTTTGAAAATCGATGAATCGGCCGATTATTTTTTCGATTAATCGGACACAAAATATTTTTTTATATTAACCTCTTTATTCCAAAATAAACATTTTATTCAGAACAAACAAGCACACCAGTACAGGTTTCTCATTAACTGTACTGGTGCAATATGAAAAATAAATGTTTGTGTTAAAACTACGCAAACTTACATGAGAAATGTAGCTGTACATCCACAAAATATAGGGTATTTTGTTTCATAAAGCGCAAAAAGAGACAGGCATTTTTGTTTTTTAAAGCCCCTAAGGGGTTCAAACAACAGGCCCCCCCATTTCAACAAATGAGGTTTTTTTAGACTAGAAGAGTTCTGCCTTTTAAGACAGGAAAGTATAGCAGTTAAAGTTGCTACTTGAGAAAATACTGAACCATAGAGATAAAAATAGCCCTGTGATTCAAATTATAAATTGTATTTGGAATAAAAATGAGAGAACTAGGGGTGCTAAAAAACACATCCTCCAAAGACAGATATTTACATGGGAATGTGGCAGATAATTAATTGACATATTACTGATCTTGCTGGATTTTATTCTGCTTTACTTCCATAAATTGCAGGATCTTCTTTAGTTTATCTTTGCCAGAAGATTTAAACTTTAAAAGCCTTGCCCTCATAATTTGCAAATTAATTTATTTATAAAGTAAATATAAACGCTGCTTAAGCTAATTCAAATGAAATTAAAAGTAAAATAAGTAGCCAACCTTATCACTGTCTGTAACCTACTAACACGGTAAGGAAAGCATCAGATGAGCTACCTGAGAAACTAACTTACGTTTCCCCACATTAAAATGAAACAAACATGGTTACTCATCCTGCTGATGAGCTCTCTTCACTGCCATTGAAGGCTCCAACATGTTTTCTTTTCAGGTGCTGCGTCATAACAGTGGTGCTTCCGTGCCATGTTTATTTGTTTTTACAAAAGTCGCATGTTACGACTTTTTTCACTTTACTAAGCGCAGGCTATTTTAAGTATTAATCCCGGAGCATTCGCGCTTCATTTGCAGTCTGGACGCTGAGGGTAAACTCCTCACTAAAATCCTGCGGCTCGGACTGCAGCGCTGAGAGGGATTCCTGTGGGAGAGGGAGAAAGGCGTTGGGATGGGGCAGGCGCCCCACGGCAGCAGCTGCCGCTGGAGGACAAGAGTAGGAACGATACATGCTTTCACGTAAGAGTCTCCAAAAGCCGCCAGTGACACCGTAAAAAGTCGCCAGATTTGTCGCTAGTCGCTTTTTAAAAAAATAGTCGCTGGAGGGGTCTGAAAAGTCGCTGAGTTGGCAACACTGCAACTGCGGCGCTGACTCGCTCCGCCATATTTTTTTTTCTTCCCCGGGATGACGGCGGCGGCGGATGACGCATTAATCGCGCGACACAACTAATCGATGATTAAATTCGTTGCCAACGCTTTTAAAAGTCGATTTTTATCGATTTTATCGCTTCGTTGTTGCACCCCTAGCACACACACACGAATAATATGTTTAAAAACACACTTACAGTATTGAGCTTGTGATTTCCTTGGCTTTCTACTGATGGGCCCTCAAAGTTTGGTGCTTCCTCCGCCAGGCGAAGACATAGTTGTGCATAAAGCTGGCTGTACTTGGGCTCTTCAAGGGCCTTGTCAACAATCTTGAGAAAGCAGATATACCAACATTTAACTGAGCATACCAGTAAAAAAAAAGTAAATAACAGATTAAAGCTTACTTACCAACAAGACAACTCCTTTTAGAACAAGTTTTGAATCCAAGCCAACATTGAGGAGCTCCAGGCACAGTTTGTCAAACTTTTCAGGGGTCAGCTTATTAAGTATGCTGAGGAACAAAATGTAAAATACATAAACACCCACAACTAAGCTCCACTTTTTTGCCCATCTTTTTAAAATATTAATGGCCCCAAACTTACCCTCTCACTTTCCTGAAGATTGCATCGTTTTGCCCTTTGTCACTGGAGGAATTGGCATCTCGTCTAGTGCTTCGTGAAGGAATCCATCTCTGAACGCCAGGACCTGGGGTTTTCCCCAGGAACTCGCTGTTGTGGAGAGAGAACGGTCAGCATCACAATGCCTCATAAAAATAATGAGTGATTAAAACATATGTGCATAACTTTATTGCAACAACAAAGATGGAAAGTTCTTGCAGAAAACAAAAAAACGTTTCCACAGAAAGCTATTGTAAAGGTTTACACACTAATTCAGATATAAAAATGGGTGGAGGGATAAAAGGGTTACCTGTTGCAGACAGTCTTGGGATAGTGCTGAGGTGCACCCCCACCTCCTCCCCCCACACTGTAAATCAAAAGACATTTTATTATCACCAAAAAATGCAGGATTGACATGCTTTTCAGCTTGACACGCTTATAAAAGTGTGACTTATTCATATAGATTTATACCTGAAACGAGAAGGTCCCCCTGGTGCAACGACACTCTCCACTTTGGCGGCTTGGCAAAGAATTTTAGTAAAGAATTAAACAAAGTGTGGGGCAGGAAACACGATCTGGAGACAGACAAAACAACGGAGTTAGAGCTTCAATAGAAGGAAATAGAGGAGTCACGTTTGGATTAACTTTTTTAAATACAAATTATTGACTGGAATGTGTAACAATAACTTTAAACGGGGAAGTGAAGCACATGAAACTTAACACGTGTGTGCGTATGAGGCTAAGGAGAGCTAGCATGCTAACGTAGCAGGAAACTGGAACAAAACAAGACGGTGGCGTAATGCTATCCTTCTCGTTATGAAGATTACGTAATCATAACCAAAACTTATGTAAAACATATACACCCATACTTACTGATCGATACTATCACGATAATAGTGAAAACCTGGAACACTTTAAGCAGCTTCGACGGAAATGTATAGAGGAAATCTGATCAAAACGACTTTTAACTCGCGTCACCACAGACGCACATCCAGATAAAGGTATGAGAACGGACTGCGTGACCTTTTTGTTCTCTAAACAAACGATTATCCCAATTCTCTTTGGATTGTTAGCCAGTATAGAAAAACTCCTCCCAGAGATCCTGCCAACATATACACAATAAGCGATGGCCACAAGTTGTATAACCGTATGCCTTATAACCAAATAACATCTTAAAACGGTTCCGATACCTGATCGAGTTGTCTTACTTAAGGGCCAACGACATTTTTTTTAAAACTAGCATCGGCTTTCGAACGGAAGGGGGGGAGAAAAAAATCTCAATCAGCTGGTTTTATGAGTTCTTTGTTCCAACACCGGAAGTCCAGGCAGCGACATCTTGGGGGTTCTCGAAGCTACAAAGCTAACGGCTAAAAAGCTAACAACCAACAGTCGCTGTCGATTGTTTGTTTAATTGTAAACAAATATATTACTTATAAACCATTAACTATGTTAATTAATTTTTTTTTTTTTTTAAAAGCAGGTGCGAGTGTTTTCACTCCTCCGGGAACCACATAAGCCTCGAATAACTTCCTACTTTAGCTAACGTTAGCTAACCTAAGTTAGTAGAGAAAAAACAGAACTTACCTTTACAGAAGGGACGTCAGCGTTAGAGTTGGGAAGTTCAACCCAAAAAAAAAAAGAAATAAATGTAATTTAAAAGTAAGTCTTCAAAAGGATGTCGTGGCACCGATTGGTTTCGAAATGTTAAAGTCGGGAACCTACAAGACCCGATGCGGCTACAAGGAAGGGATTGACTGCTGCTGTTGGTCACGCGCAGGACGGATTTTGTTAGGCACGTTACCCTACATCGCTACGTCATCACCCCGGACAGACGTAACGTTTGGTGAAACCTGGAGCATTTCGCAACAGGTTCCTTCAACTCTTATCAGCTGAAACGTTTCCATCTCAATTACTGAAACAAGGAAATGATTGACGACAATGAAACACTAAAAACAGTGATATTTGTCTTGTTACTGTTTCAGTTTTAAAAAGTAAATAAGACCGCGTGCTTTCAGGGTGCTTGCTATTTTAACTGGGACTTATAATTAAACGCAGAAGATAAAGAAAGGATACATTTGTCCTGTACATTTGTTTCTGTTCTGCAAAAATACCCGTATGAATAAAATCTCAGAATGCCATTGCTTGCTCCCCATTGATCCCATATAAAACTTGACAAATCCTTGCTACCAGTGCCAAATAAACCCTTATCGACTAATTAGAAATTTAAGTTAAAAACACACACCATAAATTTTTATTTCGTATTGAATTTGAGATCCTAATTCACAAACATGACACCATGGAACCTCCTCCTCACCCTTTTTCCTTAAAACTGCCACCTTTTAGGTGTAAATTAGCAGGGATTCTGATAAAGTAATTACTTTCTTTTTCCATCAAAGAAATACTAAGATTGTGACTGTTTGTGAGAAATTTAGTTGATTCTAACATCAACACTTTCAAAGTCATAACAGAATATGACATTATGGCTTTAACATAAATTCCTCAAAGACTAGTCTCGATTATGGACTATAGAAGTAGTTTGACATTTTCAGTCATACAGTGGGTTTATTTGTATTTTCTAGAGTATCTAAAAATAGAAAGGTAACCTTGGATAAAGGGGAATAAGCACATAATTGTTTTTATTATACCGACACTATCTAGAATTAATTTTAAACTGAATTACTTTAGCTCTCTTCCCCCTCTGTCTTTCTGTTTTTGCGCTGCAATTATGCATTATTTGCAAGTTTTGCTTGGCCTGTGTTTATTCTCTGTTTTCTCAATAATAGTGCTCACTGTTTTGGTCAAAACCCACAGTCAGCCAACTCACACGACTGTTCAAGCAGCTCATATAGAGTTTTCATCCTGTTTCATCTCACCTCTCACCCAGTGCTTATTCAAGGTGGTAGATTATTGAGAGACAATATAATGTGTTTTAATATGAGGGAATAGACTGGTGTGGAAGTGGACTTGAATCTGCTTCTTGCTTTATAAGACTTAATTTTTTTGGATGCAAAATATTTTGAACTGAAGGATTTTGGAATTAATTGATTTTGTATAAACCTCTCTAAGAAGTTCAGAAGAATGCATCTGATCTTGCATCAGTGCGTTAGTGTTCATTTATCTTCTCCAGGTTATTCCGTCAGGGTTGCAGTTGGGCCAGTGCTTATCTCCAGCATCTATGGCAGGAAATTAGTTCTTCTTATTTAACACTAGATAAAAACAGGAAACAAATTTGGCAATTTGCTTACACTCTGTCTGTATAACAATGTGCAACTAGTTCTATTTTGTTTGTGTTTCTCAGTAACAGCTTTATATCTTTTGCAACATCAAAAGGTCTATAAAAATATGTTTAAAGAAGCGTGCACACTTCGCCTTATACGAGAACATTCATGACGCTTTAACCTTTTACAGACAAATTTGCATATTTTGATTTTATGTGTCTGAGATGGACTGGCGACCTGTCCAGGGTGTACCCCGCCTCTCGCATGTAGACAGCTGGAGATAGGCACCAGCACCTCTCACGACCCCAGCTGAGATAAGAGTGAAGGAAAATGGACGGGTTTTATGTGTCTCAAAGAGTGACTTCTGTGTTTCAGCAGAAAGTTAATACCAGGCTCCTTATCTTTTATTGTAGCTGTTATTGACGATATATTCCTGCTCCATGTACTGTCACAAATGTTCTCCTTCCGGCGATCTGCTTTACGACAGATTTGTTTTTGGACTAGCTATGTAGACTCTTATTTACTTCTGTGGATTATGTGTTTTATTGGGAAAATGAGCTGTCTTTATATTCACATAGATATGGCATGGATGAGTCACTTCCTGCCAGTAAATGATTGCAGTGCAACGTCACATTGGTCATGCCTCTTTGTTGGCTCAGGTTACCCTGAGCTGAATAACCTGCTATAACCTTCTCCGTTACCATTAGAAAACATTAAAAAAATCAACAAATATATTATTTTGAATATGTGACTATCTTTATTTGATGGCTAGTTAATGTTAAATAGGGAGAGGTGTGAGCCAGTGCATTTCCATGACTTTTGATGCTGACTGACTTGCATATCCAGTCTGTCTGCCTGCTTTGTATTTGCAATTTGTTTTCATGTGTAATACCCACATGTTTTGTGCACAAACAGACCTGCAATGAATTCCTTTCTCGTTGTTAAACAAGAACTTACAAAGCTGTTAAAGCTTTGTCATGCTATAAAGCAAAACTGTAAGGTTTTGTCCCTCTTGTTCTCTGTTGTCATGTATTTCTGTGTGAAGTAGCATTATCAGACAAGTCTTCAGTATTTCAAGTTTCTTATAGCAATGTATCCTTGTTATTAACATGCTGATGAAACTGCAGCTGACAGGGAAGTGATTAAACAGCCTGTTCCAGATTGATTTATTCAGTCAGCTGTGTTGTACCTAAGTCTGCTTCCTGAGAACAACAGACGTTCTCTCATTTTAGGTATTCACAGTAACACTCACTAATTAAGGACTGCCTCGTTCACAGATTGGTATGTCTCTGCATGTTTTTATGATAATTTTCCTCTCCCAGTCAAAGATTCATTAAATGTCTGTCTTCGTTTGCTCTGTTTGATTTTTTTTCACCCCTGCAGAGCTTCAATCATTCATCAAAAGCAAAATGAAGCCAGTTGTCTCAAAGTAAACAGTCCAAGTTAATTAAGCCCAGTGTGCCAGTAAAGGATGAAAAAAACAACAACTTTGCTTTCCAGAAACACTCCAGCTTTCACCAGAGCTGCTGTGAAGTTGGTTACTGGCGCTTCATTCTCTTTGATCTGGACTTCACTTTTGTACTGATGTGGTTTGAACCTTATTTGGATCTTTGGCTGGATTTAAACAGACCCTGAGAGCAACTGTTCTATAGATGTATAATACACAACGTGAATTGTTTGATTTATTGAACTGATATTGTAGAGAATCCAGAATCCAGATAGATGAATCATTGTCTGAAAGTGACTTATCTAAATAAGATCTATAGAAAAATCTGTTTTGTGCTTTACAAAAATAGAGGAAATATATATTGTTGAAATTTGAACAAACCGCAGATACAATAGAACAATACTGTTTATTAACTATATATATAATTTGTATTACAAATTCAAAATACTGATAAATAAAACTTCACAACATAAATATATATATATATATATACACATATACATACGTAATACGTAAAAAAACAAAACAAGAAGGACGAGTCTCTCTTTAACTGAGTTTTAAATGTCATCTTCCAGAGGCCTCCATTATTCTCCACATTTCTAACCTTTTACTTTCTGCTCCCAAGCTGGGAAGAAGATCCTACAAGTGTACAGTGAGGAGTAGAGGAGGAAACTTGTTCTAGCTTTTTAAAGCCAATTATCTTTCCTTATATGATGTCTAGACTGATCATTCCATGCTTTGGTTAGCTGTCTGATTTGTTTTATCTTATATACTTGCCTTACCACATTTTATAAGTTTTAAGGTAAATCACAGATTCAGTTATAGGAAAGGCTGTATTTCTATTTCTGTGAAATACATCTTTGTTTAGATGTAACATTTTGTACTCTGGATAAAAGTGCAATTTCTACTAAATTAAGGAAATGTGAAAAAAAAAAGGAAAAACAATGTGGAGGTTATACAGTCATATTCAATACATTTGAGTATTCATTTCGATACGGCTCATGTTTCAGATTAAACCTTTTAAAAATAACTTTTTCTAAAACACAACATGTTCCAGAATACACTTATGTACACTTTTCCATAATAAAATCCAAAGTGTCCTTGAATTTGAAGTTTGAATGATCATAAATAAGAAGGTCCAATGAAGAACAATGATCCATGCCAAACAAGAAGTGGCATGGATCATTGGAGCATGGATAGCAAAAGTCTCTTTTGCTAATAATAAAAGCACATGCAAAAGGCAGGTTTTGTTTTGTCCCAATTTATTGTCTGTTATGAAATAATTTAGAGAAGCTGTGGTATGACCAGAAAAAGCCTGGTAATGATCAGAAATCCAGAATGTCTGACATTAGTGGAAAGAAAGAGGGGGCTATGACACTGTTAAGGGCTTATTGCCTTTTACATTGGGGGGCTTATTTCTGGGTGTCATGATTCTACCCTTTGTGGACTTCTGTTTAAGTTTCTTTTTAAGTTTTCGGTTACACTTTGATTCAAGTCATTCTGTGGGATTGGTTTCTTTTCCATTTGCTATGTTTAAGCAGTGTTGTATATTTTGTCTCTTTCCCTTAGATCCTTCTAGTTTCTTCTGTCTACACCTATCAACTTTAGTTGATAGGTGTAGACAGAAGTCCTCCCATTGTTTCTGTCTCCCATATATACCTGTTATACTCCTGCTCAGTTACTCATTGGTAGATCCTCATCATTTTTGTGGTTTATGCCTCCCTTGTGTTTCCTAGTTTTTCGGTTCTTGAATTTCCCTGTCCATCAGTTCTAGAATTTTCATAAAATTTTGCAAGCAGTCTTCCCTGCCTCCTTCTCCTCTGCATTTGGTTCCACAACTACAAGGCTGTTTTGGATGGGATTCTTTGCTTTTATATATTAAATAACGTAAAAATGGCTTTCTAAATTGAAATTGAAGTTGTTGAATAAAACAAAAGAAGTAAATATGCTCCAAATAATGCTGGGCTTTATGTAACAAAACTTAAAACAGAGAAGACATTTGTTAGGAGTTAGATAATATCTCTCACAGTGCTGTATGTACCTGCATCTTTTATACAAGTTCTTAAGTGAACCTCAGCATTCTGAACAGTTTGTT